GCAACAAGAATTGAGTAGTATCATTGATTTGTTTTTGACAAATATTGGTGATGTTGCTTTGGTGAATCCTCAACTGGTGGTTGAGTCTGATCTGTCTCTTGGTTCTGACCATCGATTGATGTCACTTACTTTCGGGTATGTGCCACCTCTCGATGACACTGTGGCTCCTGGTGATTCTGTTCTGGCTCCTCGGCGTCAATGGAAGCTCTCGAAATTGACGAAAGAGAAGCCTTTGGGCTTACTCCGTGAATCCTTTCGATCTTCTGTTGCTCCTCTGGTTGGTACTCTTTCTGGTTTGGTGTCTGCTCCTCCTGGTGTTCGTCCAGATATTGATGCACTCAACGATTCTTTGAATCAATGTTTGTATGAATCTCTGGATAGTTCTATTGGTGTGAAATCTGGTCGTCCTGGCCATTGGAAGAAGTACTGGACGCAAGAAATTCAGGATGCTGCTACTGTACGTGATCACTCTTATAGTCAATGGAGGCATGCCTTTGGTATTGTCAAAGTTGAAAAATGGTCCTTATACAAAATTGCGCATCGCAAGTTTCGCTCCCTGGTGCAAGCTGCAAAGCGAAGGTCCTGGAAACAGTTCTGTGGTATTCTAGAAAAGGATTTCTCAAAAGCTACTGCTGCTATCAAGCGCATCAAGCGTAACAAAGAGTCTTCTGCTACCTACAGTCATCCCGACGGTCCTGCTGCTTCTGTCACTGCTATGGGTTCTCATCTCGCTTCGGTGTATGATGGCTCTCTGCTTGCCACTGCTACTCGTCCTGCTGCTCCCCCCACTTTTGACTCTGTTCTGCCTTTTTGTGTGCCTGTGGATTTGTCACTGTTCGATGTTGATACTCTTGTATCTCACATTCAGCGGCTCCCAACACATAAAGCTCCTGGTCCAGATCATATTAAAGCTGAGATGCTCAAGTCCTTGGTCTCTGAGATTGCTCCGGTGTTGTCTCTGTTGTTCACTCTGTGTTACCAATGGTCGTATACTCCTGCTCTCTGGCGTCATGCCCAAGTCTTCCCCATCTTCAAGAAAGGTGATGCTTCTGATCCCGCCAACTATAGGCCTATTTCTCTGACTTCTGTTGTGCGCAAACTGTTTGAGTTCTCTCTCATGCCTGAGCTGGATGCCCATTCTCCTGCCCTTGACATTGCCCAAGGTGGTTTCCGCCCTCAACGTAGTCCTCTGGATCAAGCCCTCTGCTTGCATGACTTGATGCATGATTACTTTGTTGCGCACCGTCGTCGTCCTGTTGTCGCTTTCTTGGATATCAAGTCAGCATATGACACAGTCGATCGTCGTGTTATCTGGTCTGCTTTGGCTGGTTCTAGTCTTCCTCGTGCTGTTCTGGGTCTGTTGATCAACATGTTTGATGATGTGTCTGTCTCTGTCTTGATTGCTAATCACAACTCGACTGCCTTCTCTCCTGTCACTGGTGTTCTGCAAGGCTCAGTGCTCAGTCTTCACTTGTACTCGTTGTATATCAACTCTTTACCAAGTCTTTTGCGTTCTGGTGCTACTGGTGCTACTATGCTGCCTGTGCCTGGTGCTGATGCTCCTATTGCTATCAATAGTCTCCTGTTCGCTGATGATGTGGCTGTCTTTGGTTCAAAGTCTGAGGTTCAGCGTATGTTGGATCTTGCTGCTGGTCATTCTGTCTCTCTTGGATATAGGTGGAAGCCTTCCAAATGCGCTGTGCTTGGTACTGCTGCTGCTCTTGCTGGTTCTCCTCTTGTACTATACAATGAAGCCCTGCCTGTCGTTGACGAATTTACATACCTTGGTATGCCATTCCGATACAAAGGCCTGCATGCTCCTGGTATTCTGTCTCTGCGTTCTGCTGGTGCTGTCAAGACCATGGCTCTGTTAAACTCTGTTGGTGTCAACCGCAATGGTTTCTCTTTGCTGCTCTCCTCTCGCTTGTACAGGACATTTATTCGTCCTAAGCTTGAATACGGTCTAGCCATCTCGCATCTCTCTGCTCGTGATTTTACTGCTCTGGATACTCTGCAAAACCGACTTGTTGGCATGTTTGTGGGTAGTACTTGGGTCAATGTCGCCAAGCACATTACCTGTCTTCCCAGTATCAAACATCGCTACAATGTCCTGGCTACCCGTTTTGCTCTGCGTGCTGATACTCTGCCTGACGATTGTCTGCTGGTTCTGCTTCGTGCCCATTTGCACTATACAAGGTTGGATCGTTTTATATGTGAAAACCCTCTGTATCAGTCGCTGCCTGACCCTGTTCCTTCTTCTGCTGGCTTGCGTACTACCTTTGCTGCTTATTGGCAAGATCAGGTTGATCTCCAACTCTCTGCTGCTACTGTCACTAGTCGTCATACTTTGCTTCGTGCTTGTCGTCCTGATACCACAAGGCCTGATCCCATACTCTATCTGCCTCTTGGTCGTATTGCCCGTAGTCGTTTGGTCCGCTGGCGTCTTGGCCGCTTTACTAACATGCGTGAGGAGTGTCCCTGTATGTCACCTGCAGGTGTCTACATCTCTCGTGATCACTTTATGTACTGTCGTGCTCTTGATCCTGCCTTGATCGATGCCTTGCCGCCTGCTCCACCTGGTGTGCACCGTATTGACCATGCTCTTAATTGCTTGCCCACTAATGCCTCTGCCGGTCCTCCTGATTTCTGGCCTGCTCTACTGAACCTCCTGTATGCTATCGATTGCCTTGTGCATCCTCTGACTGTCATTGCTCCGGATCCAGATCCAGCGTCTCTTTGGTACTCCAGTACTGGTTGATCTGACAGGGATGAACATGTTCCATTGTTGTTTTCTACGTGCGGCTCCTCGGTGGTAAGTCATTATCAAAGTTCCCATCCGTTGGTTGTCCCTCGAGATCCTCAATGTGAGCACCACTAGTCTCCATGTCCTGTACTCTTGTCACTGCATTTTTTTCTCCTTTGAAAGTGCTCTGGAGGGGTTTTTTTAGTTACTTGCTCTATATTTGTTCTTGAAGTTAGGCTATGCTCACATCGAGTGCCCATTAAATTTCTTATAAATAAAAACAATCTTTAAACTGAGCCAAGAAGGCATGGATGCTTGAATGGCTCACTTGGTTAGAGCTTCACGCGGAAGCAGTGAGTATGCCGAGAGGTCGTGGGTTCGAATCCCACCTTCGCATCCATATTTTCCGCCTTTCTAACCTGGCATGTTACTCGGTATTTGTGCTTGCACGTTTAGGTGTGCTGCGGTGCGTCTGGCCGGTTTCTACCTTGAGTCCTGTTCGTCTCCCCCGTCTTGCGGCGTGGCCATTGCCATTCTTCCTTCTGTTTCTCCTCTTCTCTGGTGGGTTTTGATGCCGTTTTCATTACTGGTCCCCTCCCGTTAGCAGCTCCCCTCAACCTTTAATTTAAAACATGCTTTTTCCCGCCGAATCACTGTTAGTCTTGCAATTTTATGATCATACCGATTCCGCAGTTGACTACATTTGTAAATAAATAAAAACCAATATTAAACTGAGCCAAGAAGGCAATTTCTTGAAAAGTCGTGCCTAAATTTAGCTCTAAGCCAAATCTGAAGAAAGCGACTTAAAGGCGCCAGCACATACTCGAATGTTCTGAAAATTGATAGCAGACATTGATCTGATTATCAGTTGCTATATCAAGTACTATATCTACTCGAAAGTTCTATTGATTAAGTAATTATCTATCGTAGAAATAGTATAAATATAAGTTGTAAATGCATTCAATAAACAGCATCTTTGAACATAATCTCAAAACTATTAGTTACACTCTAAGTTATTTGTTAACTCCTACCATTGGATCTACCTACCAAGGCGACAGAAAATTGGACCAAATTAGCCAATATAATCCTTATTAAAAAATTTTGAAAAAAAAACACACGTCAACTTTTATATTTTTGCCTTATATTTGTTATAATATATATCAAATAGAGCAAGGTCTTAAACTAAAGGTTTTAGGCTATTCTTAGGTCCTTCGGTTAAATCATGCTAATCATGATTTACAAATCAATTGTTGGGTAGATAGTAAACCTATTTGTATTATAGTTTATCATCATGCTATAAACCCTAGCATAATGAAAAAGTATATAAATGCATCCTTCGGATGCATTCTCAATAAAAGTATAATTGTTTGGCAGATTCAATTTTACATTGTATTTTGACATAACAATATTATCCCAGGAGTAAAGTACGAGTATTCTATTTGCATGTGTTTAACAGGTTATTCAAGTACTCTGTAGATCAAGAAACAAATAATTTTGGAATTTGAAAGTTGAAGTATGTTTTAAATGATGTATAGATGCATTTACATCCATTTTCAATCAGATTGAAGCAGCAACTAGCTAAATAACTTCCTCACATATTATACCCAACAGGGTAGAACGTAAACTTTGTCCCTACTCTTATCCTACTATTACCCTACAAAAAGTTACAAAGAAACTGAACCTCTAATGCAATAATAGGCTAGTTTGCTCGTGGCCACAGTACTAAACAATGTACCTTGCAAGTCTAACTGAAATTATACATACTTTCTTAATTTCTGCAAAAAAAAAATTTCTCTTTTATTATAATTGTTATAAAGCCTACTCGAAATAAAACTTGTAAAGAATTATCATTAAAAAAAATACTGTAAGAATTTTCCGTACCTCTTCAAAACCCGTCAAAAGTTCTCAGGTTCTAGAGGAGATTCCAGATGTTGCAAACATTTTTTTTATTCTAACAAAAACTAGAACGAATCTGGTATTACATACATTCCACATTCATACAGTAATTTAAAAAGTTTTATTAGCAGCATCGATTCAAAATGAACTATTTTCTAAAATCTACCTTTTCTCAACAATCATGCTACCTACGCAAATTTCAATTGCACCATCGTTTAGAGGGGGTGTAGGATAAAAAGGGTGGATAAAAAGTAAGGGTGGATCCGGATAATAGATAGACCGTGGGGGGATACGGGGCGTAGGTAGGGGTAGGGTGGATATGGTGTAGGGGGTACAAAATACGTGAAATGAGTGTCAAATTTTAGCTTTTATTCATGCGGATCTTTTTTCTGATCTGGCAAATACGATAACATGCATACACCGTGTTAGAGATATCTTTCAGAAGACGCTCTGCCACGTCTATATCTGAGGTGAGCATCTTCATTTGCTGCTGTTTCCAATTGTCAATATCTACGAGGTATACAATTCCACCAATTGTCTTATAGCATCTTGTATAAAAATGCCTACCATCATAGCAAGTCGAGTAGACTCTACCGTGCAATTTGTATTTTGAAGTCTGTGATATGTGGATATACGTAGACAGGTAAACATTGTTTCCTGCTGTTCGTCCAGAGACAAAGTTTGCACCATCTTGTATGAATAGGAACTCGGGAAACTGATCATCTTGAGGTAGTACTTTGAGTGATGTCGAAACTCCATCACACCCTGGAAAGTTACACTTTCCTTTCTGATGTTCTTCGAGCACCTTCTCTCTGAACAAGTCATTGAATTTCACGTCCAGCGCCGCTTCATTGATAAATCCACGACAGTCTCTCAATTCCTCGACGATAGTGGTTGGAATCATGTAGATAAACTCAAAAAAGGCATCTCTAGCATACGCATGCGCTTTTTCTACAGATCAAGACACTTCTCTTTCACACTGCAACGACGAAAATGTACAAATCTTGCTTGTAAAGGCACCCGACAAACGCTGTAGTATCTTGCTCGCCAAATCGTGGGTATCACCTTCATGGCCTTTTGGGAATGTCTTGACCATTCGGGGAGCACCAGAGACAATCTTGTATTCTGTCATATTCCAAACAAACTGTCTTACTGTAAGGGTAGCTGCACGAATACCAAAACGAGGCTGCTGGGAATAAGACTCATAAGCATTGACAAGAAGACTATCATAGACATTGCTTTGATCAGCGAAAGACATATTCACAAACGGAAGAACGGCATTGAGCAGGAGCTCAAAAGATGCATCGATAAAACAAGAACTACTTTGGTTGGGGAAAATGTACGTAGGAACAGGTAAAGTCGAGTATTTGCCTGTATCGTTATTTTCGTAATCCTTTACGAGCCATTGATATTTTTGAAGTAGAGATGCCCTTTTTTGTGGTACCAAGAAGCCGGCAGTGACAGGTAAATCATTTTTAAGTGGAGCCTCACTTTTCATCCTGGTCGCATCGCTTGTATCGGGTTCGATTGTCACTAATGTCGAAGTCTCATGGGGCATTGGGGGAGAGCAAAGATCAATTACTGTATCAGATATGGATTTTTGAATGCCTTGAATCGTAAGATCAATACGTGTGCCATCACTTGCAGGAAAGGGTGAGTTCGAAGAAGGCGAAGGCAACGAAAAATCAGAATTGGATAGTGCTCACATCTTGGATGAGGTAGGCTCAGACTTGTGTTGTAAAACTGATGTGGGCTTGCATTTGGTCTTCATTAATGATGATGAAGAAGAGGAAGAAGAAGAGGAAGAAGAAGAAGAAGAGGGAGATGATACAAGATCAATAACGGACGATTTCGATTCTTCATCTGAGCCGACAACATCTTCAACAGGAATTCCAAGGTCTAAAATATCAATGATACGTTACAGCCACAGCAATTAGAAACTATTGCAAGTATCCTTACCATCAAACATATTCTTAATGCCTTCATCTAGGTCCTCAGTTCTATCAAATACATTTTCTGCTTTATCGCTTTTGTATTCGTCGTCTGAGAGTAGTTCAAGGAACAGTTTCTCATCACTGATATCATCATCTGGGAAATCATCCATCTTGGGACAGTTCCTCTCCATTTCATCAGTTTCATCCAGATGCTCAATTATGGCAGCATCCAAACTGACATCGCGGGTTTTCGCTTTCTTGGCCTTGCGTTTGCCATCCTCCTCAGCATCGCTAATGAGCACCACTTCTTGTTTTTTCTTCTTGGTGCCAAAGAGTGCAGTGTTGTTATCTGGCGCACGGCCGTCATTAATTTCATACAGAAGAGTTGCATACTTTTTTGTTGACTTCTTAGGTTTGTTTCCGTAATGTGGTCGGATATTATTGTCATAAAAATCCATCAACATCATTCCATCACGCTTGGCGACCTACAACGAAAGTCTTAAGCTTCTTGTCGAAACGGGTTGTCTTTTTTCTGGCATCAACTTGTATAAGGCACTATGGAACGCCTCAATTGCATTGGATGTGCGGCTCTTGTGTTGCCTCAAGTCGTCCTTCATCAAAGACTTGCATCTAAATACTATACTTGAGACACCAGGTTGGAGCCACCACTGTAACCACTTTTTACAGTTGGGAAAGAAGGTCAAAAGCTCCTTACCAGTTCGAAAGAATTCGATACTGTTTCTTGTGGTACGGAACCGATGGACTAGCTTCAAGAAGATATCAATCTCATCTGGCTTGACAACTTGGTGGTTGTTGGACATGCGCTTGACTGATTGCATCCAATGCATATAGCACCCTTTTAAAAAAGGTAATGCATTGTGCTGCTTGACACCAAAGTTATCCCTGAGGGCTAGTATGAAACCTTCGCGTTGGGCAGCTGAAAAGTCCATAATGACTCCCAAAAAGTTCTCCAGTTTGACATCAAATTTCCTAAACGAAGTAACAAAGTATTCTTTGAAAACATGTGTAGTGTTGCTTTTGATTATCGCTTGATAAAAGACGACATGCTTCCGGAGTTGCTCGATATAGATGACACTTGAGCATAGATAATAGCCCTTTGGGACAGCCTTGAAAGTGACATCTGTTATGATCGATTGATCTGCGAAAGGGAGATTACGCTGAAGCATTTCAGGTGAACAGAAGCTCACAAAAAACTTGCTAGGGACAATCTGTGCTGAATCCATGAAGCCTGGATACTTCTCATCAAGATCTTCAAAGGCAGCTACCACATCTTCCTTGATAGAGTATAGACCTTGTTGGATCTTCGACTTCCGGATCTCATACTTGGTGCGTCCATGATTTGCCATTACACTGTTGATTTCTCTGACGCTTTTCGTGATGGCGCCAGTAGATGGATTGATGCCAGCAATGGCAGCTGCAGCAGTGATGTTTGGTCTATCTTTCACCATATTATTTAACTCTTTTTTTTCGTATCTATCAAGATGAAGCGAGTTGTAGATAGAGTGTGTGTGTTTTTTTTTCTCGGTTATCTCTTGATACATTGTAACTGTACTGCCTCTGTCTTCTCTGCGAATATCAGCTACACGGAAGGTGAAAGTTGCACCAACACTACAGTCGATCCGCTTCAATGGCGCCTCACAGTATGGGCATTGAAACTTTTTGAGGCAGCCAAGCTCGTCTTTCCAGTCAACAGGAGGTCTTTGATCCTTGACCCATTCAGGTCTTTTGCATTGCAGACTGAGGCATCGCAAAGCACCAGCGCACTTTTTATGAATTTTTCTGTCGTAAAGGCTCTCATCTTCAGCGAGTTTTTCAACTGGTTTGTACTTGTTGTAAGCTTTGCTGTGGCTTTTTTTCAAGGCCAATCCAATATTTAATCTTCTTTTGACTCTGAATGTATTGGTGGTGCGGTCAAATACAGCGGGAAGGACTTCTTCAACGGTTTCGTCAGGAAATTGATTGAAGAAATCATATTCCATTTCATAACTTGAGTTGTCCATGTTGCTTAAAGTATTGAAGAAATATAATAAGGTAGATGAACAAAATGAAGTGCCTGATCCTACATGTCAAAAACTTTTACTGCTCTGCCCTGTCGGGGATGTACATATAATGCAATGTAATCTATCCACCCATTGCTAGCTACACCATATCCACCCTACCCCTACCTACGCCCCGTACCCCACGGTCTATCTATTATCCGGATCCACCCTTACTTTTTATCCACCCTTTTTATCCTACACCGTTTAGAGGGCAAGAGCGGAGTCTCAAAACGACAAAGGACTCCGAACTCGGAGTCCGAAAATATTTCAGCCAATCAAATTGTTATACGGATTTATATACTTTCTGGAGTCTGACAAGGAGGAACATTCAAATTTTTCGCTAGTGGCAACGATACGCATACTATGAAAAGAATATCAGTATCATGACCTGCAGGTTCTCTTCGCTGGAGCAGTTAGAATTGGATGTTAAACGTTTAAACCAGTAAGTATCTATTGCGAGTTATAAGCGTGTGTTTGAACGTAAATGATATTTTTAATAACTGATGAACAAATCAACATTTGTCGAAAAGCCACTTGTATATAATGCTTGCAGGTTGAAACCGATGTGATATGGACACTTTTCAGATACAAGTCGAAAAAAAACGTACATATGCAAACGTTATTCTTTGCAGAATGTAAACTTGAACAGAAAATACGCTTGAAATTGACTGGGTTAAGCCAACCTATTAGAGATCTTGAAAGCGCATGGAGAGCAAAAAATTGTTTCCTTTTTACCTCCTACTACAAAAAACAAAATCAGCTTACAGCGATAGCCTTAATGAGGACAATAAATAGCGATATTGCGATGTCGAGCAGTAAGTGTTGTTCGTATCTGTTTCAGAAACGTAAGCATTACAAAAGCACTGGGTTCAAGGTTACTCGAGTGACCTTGGCCCGCTTGTATAAGCTGCCACCTTAGCGTTATAACAGCCTCAGTACGTTAAAGGATGATGTTTGCTAGTTATCGGCTTGATACGTACATCCAACATATTCTGCAATTAAGACATTGTGGATAGTTTCATATTTACATCATGCACTACAAGGACACCTCTTAATAGTATCATTCAATAGATAGTCATGAATAGTTCAGGAACTACTTATGATATTCAAAACGCATGGAGTGATAAAAGCTTCAATTACATTAAGTTAGCTGAAGATATATATTCCAGTACGAACTTGCTACAAACGAAGAGAGTACCGTTAATACAGTTACCTAGTTTGGAAGTAGTTATTCTCATCCTTTAGATATATACAACCGATTTCAAATCGCTTGACATAGTTTTGTATACATAACATGCTCTGCTCCAAATCCAAAATGATAACATGTAGTTGTTGAAAAGGTGTCTAAGCTGAAGTATTGCTGCCAGCAAGCAGACTCCAATCCCAAAGTTACTTGCGTTTTTTGAGTGGAGTGAAACTTTTCATCACAAATAAATGGTTACGAAATCACACAAGTAAAGAAAGAGTCAAATGTGAGTAGGGTATAATTTCTTAATCCCCGAGTTTAGCAACATTAACAAGCAGTGTCATTAATAGTTCACAAGCATTTTATCAAACATTTTATCAAATTAAGAAACAGAATATCATCTACAACTTGATTTAGCCACATGATAGAGCTCCCATACGAAAAAAAAAGAGAAAGCATAAAATAGAGTCGAGAAATTAGGTTTATTAGGCTTTAAAAAGTAGTGTGATATTAAGAGTGAGATGTGTTTAATGCGTATGATAGGGCTTGCTTAACAAGAAGGATATGTACAGGTAAGCTCATTATCTTACAGAATGCCGTGTTGATGATGAGAAATTTAGAAGAAACCTTGTTTGTAAGCAAGACCACCGATAGCCAAACCAAGAGCGTAGAAAATAGTAGAGTAGAGAACACGCATATAACGGTTGTCAATGACGAGTTCAGCGACAAACCAAAAGACAGCAAAAGCGACAAAAAACCAAGCAAGGATCATGACAGCACGGGTGGAACCACGGGCAAAAGAGTTCATTGAAAGCAAGCACAAGAGAGAGAAGAGAGAGTCCTTTACAACTTGATAGCCCTTTTCTAAGCGAGGAGCAAAACTACCACTGACAGCAAAATTTGGAGAAGGCATATGGAGTTTCTTTGCCAAACCATTTTCAGAAGCAGAGTGTGCTTCGGGTTCAGTGACATTGGATGTATCTTGACCTACAAAGTATGAGCGGACAACCCACAAGAGACCCCAGATAACCCACAGGGTCATGAAAGCAATCCAGGTAACACGGACATGCCAATCCTCAACGAAATCAGTTTCAGAAGCGTAGATAGCACTGTGAACAGAGGTCAGGTTTTCAGTAATAGATGACATTTTTTTTTAAAAGAAAGTATGAGTATTTGTGATTTGTATAATCGAATGATGATAGCTGATTACAACGACAATTGACCTTCTTATATATAATTTCTGGCATTTGCCCTGAGTTTTTCCAAATCGAAAATGACAACGGTTTATTATTCCATTTCTACAAACATTCAGGCATGTATGGGTGATTGACATGCCGAGAATCTGCATATCTTTCATCCGAAATCTCATACACCACCAATCATTTTGATTTGTACATAAACCCTTCGTGGATTGCGCCTCGAGTGTATTGGGCTGAACACTTTATTTCTAGCTTTTTGATAGTGGACATGTGTTGAAGTATCAGGGATATAACGTTGCCGTTAATGCTACTTGTATTATGATTGGGATGATCAATCGTCAATGGCGCAGAACGACAGTTGATATTATCCCGGTCCTTGAAGAGCATTTTTGCGAGAAATGTTTGGAACCTGGATGTATCAGCAAACCCTGATCAAAATCAAGCATGATATCATCCTGTTTACTCAACGACTATAAACATGGAAATTGGTTTACAGAGCAAGTCAAGTCAGGAAAGATATCCGAAAATTGCTTTGTTTCAATCATTACCTAAACGAGAATAATTTCTCCAAAACTGTAAAACAATGACTTGCTGTCATTCTTAAGTAGCATGAATTAGTTTAACCGCCGGGCAATAATATAAGCAATTCTTTAACAAGATGATGCTTTATGCAAGATAAGTAGGCCTCATGACTACATTGTCTTGATATGATAGCTTTACATGTAGCCAGATTGCTATACTCAATCTCGAATCTGATCATTATTAGTTGTTTCATTTTGAAGCACCGAATCTCTCCTTTTGATATTGAACTCTGATGGGGGATGATAAACACCTTTTTTAAGGGCTTCCATAATGTTCCTTTACAAATAAGCATATGGATATGGAACATTCCTTGGGCTAGACTACCACACAATGCACAAGACTATATATCATACTTTGTTTTGTATTGCAACTTGTATACAAGTAATAAAGAAACTGCTATACGCTCAATACACTCCTTTTCCTTGCATATACATTCAAGAATCCAAATTGAAGTTGTGAATAGTTAGCAAATGACGCTTGAAATAACGCTTTTGAGCATACTTATGCTTGCATTGGGAACAGTAGAAATCAGGATTATCGACGTCAATAGTAGCTCCAGGATCCGGGATGCTGGTAGATCCCATTACCATGAGATGAGAGTACTTGCAATGATGACGATATTTGGGCAAAGTTTTGAAGGTTCTAACGCACACACTGCAGTGAAAGTTGGGGTCATGAGGGTCTGGCAAAGAGGTAACATATTGTTGGCCAGAAGGTGTCAGGATAATCCTATGCTTCAATTTGAGATGAGTTTGATATTTGGTTTTTGATGTAAACGTGTGTTGACAGGTGCGGCAGTGATTGGTGCTGTCATGAGCATCTGGTTCGGCATCTATGCTGTTGTGGGCAGATGTATCTATGGAGTGTGATGATAGTAGATGAAGCATGAATTTTCTCTTGGATGTCATTGTTTTATCACAAATGCGGCAGTAGAAGTTGGGGTCATTGATGTCTGGTTTGAAGGTTCGATAATCCACCTTGTGTTTCATCAATACATGGTATTTGAAACTGGATTTGACGCAAAACGTTCTTTCACATACATTGCAATAGCTGTTGGGATCAAAGGGATCAGGCACTTTATCTGAATTGGCAGATGCTGCGGGTTTCTTCTCATGGGCCACTCGATAATGTGTTTTGTATCCAGCTGCCGTTTTGTAGGTAATTTGACACAGCTTGCAGTGTTTGTTCGTATTTTTGCTTTCAGCCTCTTCCACTTTCACTGGTCCCTTGAGTGGTGGTGTCATATTGTGAACGGTTTGGCAATGAAGGCTGTAACCTTCTTTTGATTTGTAAGTGCAATTACAGGATCTACAGTACCAGTCTGGATCACTCCAGTCAGGTGTAATGTTAGGGTTCATCTTTTTCTTTCGTAACGGTGTTGACTTCAAGTTGTGGCAGACCTTCATATGCTTTACAAACGTGGCTTTTTTTTTGTACGCAAACTGACAGGCAGAACAATAGAAACTCGAATCATTAGGGTCAGGAGCAGCGCCATCACGGACTACCTTTGCACGCAGTCGATCTAGAAGCATGTAGTGGTCTCTTCTGAGATGCTCACGGTATTCCGTGCGTGAAGCATGCTTTATGCCGCAAGGTTTGCAGTAGTAGCGAGGATCATGAATGTCTGGTTCTAGATCAATGTGAATGGGAAGTTCCTTGTGTCGCGCCTTGTTGTGCTCTTTGAACTGATGATCCAACACTGACTTCAGGTTGGCCAGCTTACGTTCGCAGACTGCACACTGATAAACGTTAGGCTGTCCAGTTGCTATATCAACTATTTTAAATAGTCTGCATTTTTATCAATGGTCAATCTGGATAGGAGTTACCTTCTTGCGATATATTGTCGTGGTTTTCGGCCTCTGCTTTCTGCTTCATGTCAACGTCTGCGGTTTCCATAGGTGTAGCAGTATTGTCGGATTCGCAGCTTGTTGTTCCGGGTGAGTTGTGTTTGGAATCATGCAAGCTAGATGCTAGAGATACGTCTGTTTCTTGCTTGATTTCAGGGTCATTCGTTGTTGATGGTTCGTTTCGACAGTCTGTGCGAGATAGTGCAAGAGCAACGTCTGTTGTCGATACCTCTCGTTTGATTGCAATCATAACACTTCTGTGTCTACTTTTTGCTTTCATATCGAATGCAGCTGCTAAATGAAAAGGAAAAGAGAGTTGGCGCGTATGAACACCTGAGACGCCCATCTCTACACGCTTTAAGCCACCTTGACTCCTGATAGAACGTGTAACAAACAATATGACTCTTCGCTTGGAGGTTAATTCAATGGATTGATTGCACTGTTATTCCATTTAACCAAGGAGAGACACTTGTTTCAATAAACATCAAATGCTTAAAGAGTGTTACTTTTACAGTAGCTATTACTTGAATCGAGATGTCTTGCGTTACCAACTTACAGACGCATGAATTTGTATACAACGGCAATTGGGTTCCACTACAAAGTTTTTCTGGGTTCTATTTGCAAGCCTGGTGAGTTGCTTGATCCTAACAGTGAAATCAATGTCATTGCTAATACAGTGTCGTGTAAGAAGCAATCATGGCTATTTTCAATCATTAATAATATGCAGCTGCATCTATGTACATGTACATGGACACGTGCTGGATTTCTACCCATCAAATGCTCATATAGAGCAAATCTCGGCAGCGTCAAATCTAGGAAAGAGACCTTTTGCAACTACGCACAAAGGAGCTTTAGACAGGTTTGATGATAATTTGGACTACGTGGTATAATCGCAGTCGATCAATGGCGAAGCAGTTCAGCCCAACAACAACCTCGGCGTAAGGTTTTCTAAATTATCCGATCAAAAGAGATCCTATGTTGACATTTAGATGGGTGTAACGTCGAGGCTTGTATCTTATCTCTACAATTTGCTTGTTCAAGCATTAGCCAAATCAGAAAAAAAAAAAAAAAAAACTCGAATGATTTTTGCAAATGTCAAATGGTTCTTGCCCCATTTGAATAAGCTCTCGAAACGATACAACAACACACGTCGTTGGATCAAAAAGTCTTTTGATTCATGCAAACTTTATTTTTGAATGAAACCTGGCCCATAGATCAAGTTACAAGATCCATGAATAAATACATGAAAAAAAAAAAATGCCAAACACACGATGGTAAAAAGTGCACTGATTCTTGCTTTTTTTTTTGCATGATGACAAATTATGTCCTATGTTGTGGCTACACAACAGATTGCATCAACCTCGATCAGTCTACAGACAAAAAGGCAAAATCGGATAGATCCGAGGGCAAATTGCCACTTTTTCTTGTTGTTTGTCTTACTGACAAAAAATCTGAATCAACAAACAAGCTCGACACTAGGCGAGTAAACGATTCATTGCACCTGTTTAACAAGGGGTTGACAAACAGAAACTGCTGTATAAAAAGAAGCTTATTTGAGAATCTCAAACCTCTCTTTTTCTTTTACAACTTTTTTGTTTTTTCTCTAAAAAATCAACATGGTATCTATCAAAGTCGGTAATTATCTCATTAAGCGCCTCAAGGAAATCGGTATTGATACCATCTTTGGTGTTCCCGGTGATTACAACATGGTAAGTGTGTGGTCGACTGCTGCATATGTAGATCTCTCTTGTTGACATGTTGCATACTGCGCTTTAGCCCTTGTTGGATATGATTGAAGACGACAAGGACATTCTCTGGGGTAACAATGCCAATGAATTAAACGCATCTTATGCTGCTGATGGCTATGCCCGTATCAGAGGTACTGGTGCTCTTGTTACTACATTTGGTGTCGGTGAACTTTCTGCCGCTGCTGGTGTCGCTGGTTCTTACTCTGAAATGTTGCCAGTCATTCACATTGTGGGTACTCCCAACACCAAGTCTCAAGCTGAAGGCGCTATTCTTCATCACTCTCTTGGTAATGGTAACTTCCAGGTCTTTGTTGACATGTTTGCCAAGATTAGTGGTGCCTCTACTCACTTGACCCGTGAAACTTCCATCAAGGAAATCGATCGTGTCATTGAAGAAGCTCTCCTCAAGAAGCGTCCTGGCTACATTGGTATCCCTATTGATCTGATCAACTATGAAGTCAGCCTTCCCGAGATCAGACCTCTCAACTTAACTATCCCCAAGAACCCTGCCAAGACGCAAGAAGTAGCTCTCAGAGTTGTATTGGAAGCCATTCACAAGGCTCAACATCCTATTATCATTGTCGATGCTTGCATTCAACGTCATAACCTTCAAAAGGAAGCTGCTGCTTTCATCAAACGCTCAGGTTTCCCTACTTATGTTGCTCCTATGGGTAAAGGTATCGTCCCCGAAGAGTATGCAAACTATCGCGGTTGTTATGCTGGTAGTATTACCATTGAGGGCATTGCAAAGGAAGTCGAAAAGGCTGATTTAATCATCGAACTTGGTTCTATCAAGTCTGATTTCAACACTGGTGGTTTCACTTATGGCTTGGATCGTGGAAAGACCATCTCTCTTCACTCTTTTGTCACAAACGTCTTTTACGCTGATTACGACAAGGTCAGCATGGTTGAATTCCTTCCTCTCTTGACTGAAGCTCTCCCAACAACCCCTCGCCATTTTGAACTCGGTCCTCGTTCTCATCCTGCTCCCATTGAAGCTGGTACTGAGATCACTCACAACTACCTTTGGAACAAGGTCCCAGAATACATGGTTGATAATGCCGTCATTGTTGCTGAAACTGGTACCTCTGAATTTGCTTCCTTCAACTTGAAGGCCCCCAGGAATGCATTCTTCATTGCTCAAGTCCTTTGGGGTTCCATTGGTTTCTCTGTTGGTGCTGCTGTTGGTGCTGCAATTGCTGATCGCAGCAGACAAGTATATCTCTTCTGTGGTAAGTTGTGCATTGTTGAGTAATGCGTGTACACCTGACACTCTATCTATATTAGGTGATGGTTCTTTCCAATTGACTGCTCAAGAAGTTTCAGTTTTCCTTCATCAAGGCCTCACACCCATCATCTTCATCTTGAATAACGATGGATATCTCATTGAGAAGCTTATCCATGGTCCTCACCGTGCTTACAACAACTTCCAAATGTGGCAATATGCAAAGACTCTTGACTACTTTGGTGCTCATCTTCAACGCAACTTGGAAGACGTCTCTCCTGCTCCCGTTGGTGTTGAGGCCAAGGTTACTACCCGTTCTGAGTTTGAGGCTGCCATGAAGCTTGTCACTGAACAACCCAAGAGGATTCACTTCCTCGAAGTTGTCATGCCTCGCTTCGATGCTCCTCGTGAATTGATCCTCCAAGTTGAGACCTCTGAGAACCGTTAATTTATAGTCATTGTACATAAATGTATTTATCATCATCATTATCATCATTTTATCTTTCTTTTTGCTCTGTGTAATCAATAAAAACAACGATTTGTATATAATTTATATAGTAAAACATTCAAAAAAAAAAGTAGACAAGCTAATCTTATCCTTTCAAAAATTTGAAGAATTGAGTACCGTACAATGTGAATAAACCACCGGCGGAAGCCAGCATTGGGAGGGGGTTTGGATGAGGTGTTATTAAGTCCGTACACCAAGACCATAACGCATCTAATTCAACATTTGGTAGCATTGACGTATGAGGCGGTTTTACCGTAGCGAAGCAAAGGCGAAAAAACCATGACCACTAAGCATCTAACCCAATACTTGGTAATATTAATCTTAATGAGGGTTTTACCGTAGCGAAGCGAAGTTGCAAGACCATAGTGTTCAAACAGCAAATTCGGATTTCATCTCCATTATTAATAAGCTTACCAACAACATAATGCAACAAAATTTGCATGAATTAGCTTTACCAAAATCGGTATGTCTCATATTCGAATTAAAATTGCACAGGCCACAGAACTGCCCTTCCAGAAGATTTCAGCTACCAACACTGTGACTAAAAAAGATTCAAATTTATCTGAATATATTAGAATTTGACCAATTTTTTCTGAAATATCCTAAAAATGTCTTAATCACTCTGAATTTGTCCAAATCCCTTTGGAAATATTCAGATAAATTCATGCAGATGAAAATTAATAAATTAAGCTTAGAGAAATTTGGAGAAATTTAGAAAAATTTAGATATTATTCAGCGATTTTTTTTACCACGAAACGATCTTCATCAGAAAAGCGAGTAGTCATCGCTACGCCATTTTTATTTCTTATTTGTCAACTGCTTCAGATTCTTTCTTGTAAGGGAGTCGTGCTCCATTTTTTATTTAGAGGTCTCTGAATGTCATAATAGGATAGGAAGAAGAAAGAAAGAAGATATATTATTACAGAGCAACAATAGAAAGGAAACAATATTAACTAGTTATTATTATTAGGAATGAATTTTCAGCTTTGCATGCGACCGGGCAAAAGAATGAGCATTAAGATATAGAACAGTGGGATGGCTAGTAATTTGGAAGGATGTACAAACATCAGTTTGAGAGAAAGGTGACCATGATGTTGGCGTATATTTATTTTATGCAAAGTCAAATATAGAATCATCATTGTATACTTTCAAACCAATTCTTTTCATATCAGGCCAAACAAAGAAGAGCTTCCCAGATATGGCAGACTTCAGAATTGCAACTGAAGACAAAATATCATCGACAGCTATTATATCCAGATCCCATGCACCATTGGAAGTATCCGAGTTGGCATTGTCAAGGAAACATTCAGGGATGCCGGACGTTGATACCGTTACGTTCTGATAGACTTGGCAAACGGCTAGAGCATGTGTTGCACCAGAGAAGTTGTGCTCAAAGATGAGCAACACCTTTACCAGCAATGGTAGCGAACTGCGGCGAGCACAATTGACCAGGGCATGGTCTGACAGCTTCTTCTTTCTACTTGGTGGATCGAAAGTAGAGTCGATCGTGATGTTGTTGCCAAGTCGTAGTGAGGTAGCGCACTTGATCTGCGGATTGACACGAGCAGTGTTGTAATGTTTGCACAACATAGAAGCAATAGACGGTGACAGCTTGATGTCGCCCATATTCAATGATTTCGAGAAGGTGATGGCAGTATCCGTCGAATTGTCAAATGCAATTGTCCTTCTTTTTTCATAGCTGTTACATGCAATATCCAGCATGATATTTTCCGCTTGTTTTGCAACTTGACTACAGCCATGGATCCTCTTCTTGATCATTTGGATCCTTCTCTCCAAAACACGGCAACTGTACTGAGGCATGGGGCCTATCTTTCGAATCACCATCGTGATATGCTCCAAATAATGTTCGCTGGTTGGAAAGAATTTTGCTGAGATGTGAAGACGAAGAAATTGGTGCCACTTGGTTATTAGTTCCTCCAATTTTTGTATCTCGCTCTCAGATATATCCTGCTGCAAGCATACTGAGCAAATCAGAGATATTGTACGTAGGGCTTCCTTGGCAGCTTCAGAGACAGTAGGATCCAAATGGCATAAATCAACGTGGTCGATAAGAACTGTGGGCACAAAGTACTTCAGGAACACCAACCAATCTACTCCTCGAGCTGTCCCTCCCTTGCTGAAGACATCCATGAAATTGCCTTCGAAGATCAAAGGTGATGTGCTTGCAAGTTGGTTCAAGCAAATGCTAATCTTCTCTATTTGTCGCGGCTTCAAGCGAAGAATCGATTCCTTGTCCGTAAACATTTTCTTGATTCTTGGTCCCATGTTTTGTCCAAACAAATGAAATTCATCCAAGCCCACAAACGTTGGATCAATGAATGATGGCAGGTTTCGAAACAAAGAAGGCCTCTCGATACCAAGTTCTGGTGCACTGGATTTGTATTCTTCAATTGTTAGCAATCGTAGTGGTCGATCTTCATCATTAGCTGCTAGTTGAAAAGAAATAACACCATTTTTGCTGATGCCAATGATCGTACAAAAACGGCAGCCTTGAAGCGACGTATGGGATGCGAGGAAATTGAGTTCGCTGACGCTGGGGATATCACCAAAGGATCCCATGAGGTGGACTTTGAGCGAGATATTTGTTGAGTTGTTTCTCTGCACTTGTAGTCCATCACGAGCCAATTTTTCCAATTCGCTGACAAGGTATTGAAGGTAACTGTCTAATCTCTTGGTGTTTGGGATAATGGCGAAATCAATCAGGAACTCCATTTTGTATCTATAGGCAGAAGGAAGGTTCAAGATTTGTAGCATGACCAAGTTCAACTTTGCACCGCCTTTTTTGTGTGATTGGAATCCATCTACGTACAGGGACAGGCCAATGTCGTATCTATTGTTGAATAGATGCTTGTTGTTCACTAAATTTTGCATTATATCGCCCTTGAACCTTGCTCTGATGGATGAATTCTCGTCATCAAGCACTCTGATAAAGTTTGGATTTTCGAACAACGTGGCAAGTTGTGGACCGATTGGCAGCATCTTGATGGTTCTTCTGGGGCTACCATCAATATCGAATCTCTTTTCAAAGCACACTGGACATTCGTCCCCATCCTCTGGTTGAAAGGCATAGCAATACCTGATGCACACATCGACTGTATAAGGTGCAAAAGAAGTTGCCCTTTTCCTAGCAGAGCTGGCCTTGAATGTTGAGACTATAGGCGTTGCAACTTATCATAGTAGATGTTAGCGCTTTGAAACAACCAACTTTGTTATGGTTACTTACAAGGATACGTTTGGTTGTGCCATTGAACAAGTCTTCGGATGCTTGAGTTTGTCAAGTTTTCTTCCCTGAAGATCTTGTGGATCTCAGTATTTTTAGCATCCAGTGGTGGTAATGCCTCGCAACTGTCAGACATCTGATTGTCACTATAGTTAGCGCCGAGTCCATCAGAGTCTCCAAAGTCATATCCGCCATCGCTACCAGGTTCACCATCGCTACCAGGTTCACCATCGCTGTTTTCTTGCTGACTATTTCTTTCAGTGTAAGGTCCAGCCTGAGTATCATGTTCAGTTCTTGCTTTCTTTCTTTGATACTGATTAGTCTCCAGGTTGTGCAAGTCTACAGTTGTTGTGTCATTTGAAGAGTGCCAAAGTTTATGCTGTTTTTCATGTCTATTGCGAATTCTTCGGCAACACTGGGCACAAAAAAATGGCATCGTAAATAATATTAGAAATAAAGGTTAAACACAAATCTGTCTGGATTGTCTTTTATGCTCCTTATATTGCATGCGTTTCAATCATACAGATTGAAACGCATGCAATATTGAACATAGAATACACTTTGATTGGTATTGAATAGCCATGTGAATATCTATAGTGAAATCTAATAGTTCACATTGCATGCGTTTCAATCTGCATGATTGAAACATCAATGTCTGTGATAGCGGGTGCTATTAATTATTGGAAACATTACTAGACCAGTTTTTCTCTGTCTTTCATAGATTGTTACGCATTTATCGCAATTGATACAACCATCTCAAAGCACTGCTCTATTTTACACTTTACACTAATCACTTATTCAAAAATGGATCAAGCACAACAACTATTCTTACAAAGATTGGAGAACATTGAACAGGAGTTGTCTAATCTTAGCAAACAGGTCAAGGAATGTAATGACAACCAGACCGAAGTAAAAGATATGCTGCAGCATATTGTTCAACAATCTACCTCTTCGAGCACGGCCAATGTTGCGAGACTAGATGGAGTGATATGCCGTCCAAGCAAAGCAGATAGCAAACATCTGGAGGAGCTTTCTGTTGAGCTATGCATCAACGTCCTTGAGGAGCATCGATTAGGTGGGGAAAACCTTGATGGCAAGAAGGTCTGGGAGCTTGTCAAAGATGCAGCATACAACCAGGCAAAGAAAGCTGATAGACAGTTCCCAAATATCACTTTTAGCAAGCTGGACAACAGGTTTCAAGCCTTGTTAATCAAGACCGTCATAGACGATGTAGCCAAAAAGGGCGTTGACATCTCTGGGTTCTTCAAAGATTGGTTGCCGCAGTTTGCTGTCTCCAAATCATTGTCTGGCATAATCGATTACAAATACAATGCCAGGCCAAGCAATGACACCGCAACTTACCAAACCCAATTCGATGAAGATGATCTGGTATTTTCTGAGGGATCCCAAGCGCAATCCGAAGAAGATTCTGTCGACGATGACGAAAATTCGATTGTAGACAAGATCAATTTTCATGTTTCTCGAAATACTGGATCACAAAAGTAAATGCTGCATAGAGAAAAGTACTCTTTGATACTAATCGTAATATTATAGAAGAATCAGCACGCAACATATGCCTCTAGTAGAACAAGTAATTAAGTTTTCATAGATATAGCGCAGTAACTCACATTTCTTTTCCATTTTATAATGTGCACTATCATTATTATAGCCAATGCAGCCATCTCCAGTATCAAAAAAT